ACTTCATCAAATCCTATCTCCTCATCTAGCCAAAAGCTAACATCATGTACGTAAGATGGAGGATAGAGGGAAAAAGTCTTAAAGGGTTCTACTTTTCCAGGGATAAAATGATCTAGAAAACGTTCGTCAAAGGTCCATAAAATCCTCCAGTCGGGGATCCCCCACACCAGCATGACTAAAAGGTCCAGGTTCACAGAGGCAAATACAAAATCCAGGTCTTTGTATAGGTGGCTTGTGACAGATGTTATGACAGACCCAATAACCAGACCCACAATTTCATCTGGACCAAAATTGTGAGGCTTCACACAAATCATATAATCTTTTTTGTTTTTCTGAGGCTTAAATGTCAGAGAACTGCTCAGTTCAGGGCCATCTGGCAATCTCTGTGTGAGAAGGCCTTGGAGAGAGCATTTCAGGTGTTCCAGGAATAACTGAAGACAGGAATCACTCATTTTTTTATTAAACCCATGAATAAATAAAGTCTCATGAAATGCTGGCAGCATGAAAGGTGAAATAAGGCATTTCCTAAAAACAGGACCACTGAGGATGTGCAGAGACCCTGGGAGGAAGTATGGTCCTTGGATGACATCCTGTGCATAAACGAGGAGGGAAGGTCTGAGATGGAACTTTGCTGGGCTTTGGATTCTCTTCTGGGTCTCTAGTTTCCCATTCCACTCAGGGTCTCTCTGAAGACAGAGCCTTGAAAATGACACCAGAAAGTCCTCCATATCACATGCTGTTTCACCAGCCAATAACTCAGAATGTGGAATTTTCTCTTTTTGGGGAACGATCCAAAAGGAAGCTGATGGAGAGTCAGAGCTCCAGGCAATGTCACTATCACAGCCTTTCTCTGGAAGCAAAGGTGCAGGGCATTTCAGCCTCTGAAGTGAAAAGGTTTTACTGAGCTTAGCAATCAGCTTTTCATTTATGGTCCTGACAGGATGACTTGAATTTGTTTCAAGGAAACCCCTGTTTGATACAAAAGAGAAATCATCCTTCTAACTTAAAAAAAAAAATACTATTCTTTAGGTAGAATTAAAAACAAATAACAAATAGCAAGAGGAATTAACTGTAAGCTTAAAAAATAAAAGAAACTCTCTATTTTGAGAACACTATAGTGTAATGACTAGATAACTAGCCTAAAAGTCAGGAAGATCTGGGCTCAAAATCTATCTTTGACACATAATGGCTGTGTGACTTTGAGAAAATCAATTAACCTTTCAGTTCATATGTTGCAGAGAAGATGCTGACTAGCACTGGAGAGGTAGATTTATATCTGGGAGGTCTGGTTCCTGTTCCTATCTCCCATCATAAACAGAAATGCACTGATTCAGAACCCAACTACTACCTTATATGTGATAAACTAAAAAATGTAGCAATTTGTAATTACTAAAAATCTGTGGAATGACAGATTGACAGTTTTATAGAGATCATTATCATCATTAATCATTTAGCATTTGTAGGACACAGAGCTTCCATCAAATTAATTAGTGCACATTCTGGGATGGATGGTATTTCCAGAAAATAAGAGATTACCTGTTTATCTTCCCTACCAGTGCTTCTGGTACAGAGAAGGAAAGCCAATGGTCATCCAGTCTAACTCTGCAGATCATGGAGTGGGATTCTTCAAAAGGTAAGCTTCGAGTAAAGACATGATTCAAAGCACCTTCAACATGGAAGGACTTGTTCTGACTCCTGGCAAAACACAATGTCCTAAGTATGCGCTGAATAATGGCAAAAGGGAATGAGCATTCCTAAGGGACCAAATCAAAAAAAGTCAGAGAGAATGCTATAGCTCAGTTTTTAACTGAGAGGTGAGAGAAAAGGCTTGGGTTTCACTACTGTGCATTACCTGTATCCAGTGCACTTGTACCCTGGCACCAAATCAGAGCTGAAAGGATGAACATTGCTTAAGATGAGTCCTCCTCCAGCTGCCATAGCTACTACTTGCCAACTATTGTGCCATTCTCTCCTGGGACAATCAGCAGGAGTTCCGCCTTGTCCTCTGCACAATGCCACGTGCACCTCCCCTCTCTCTGCAAGGACATCAGCACAGCTACAGGAAAAGAAGAGTTATTCCTCAATAGCCATTAGAAATAACCATGGGTGCCACCAACATTGCCAGATTTTAAGACTGTCTTTTAAGGACCAAATTTTTAAGAAATCTGGCTACAAGAGAATGTAAATGAGAATAAAATAAAAATCTACTTAGAAGTACCCACATAGTATTTTTCAACCAGAAACATTATGTTTGTACTGAAGGACCAGTGTCTCCAAGACTGCTGTAAAATGTGATCAGAGGAATTCATGTTTCTAATCATTTAACCAAGTATTTTTTTTCCTTCCCTAATAGTTAACCTATAAAACTGTCACTTAAATGCTACACTACACTACTTTTTGTTTTGTTTTTTTTTGTTGTTTTTGTTTTTTTGTGAGGCAATTGGGGTTAAGTGATTTGCCCAGGGTCACACAGCTAGTAAGTGTCAAGTGTTTGGTCTGAGACCACATTTGAACTAAAGTCTTCCTGACTTCAGGGCCAATGCTCTATCCACTGCGCCACCTAGCTGCCCCTTACACTACACTACTAATCTCTTGAGCAAGATTACAGAAGTCAAGTCTCTTGAACATGTCATTGTTTCGGAATTCCTCCCCACCTGAAATATTCTCCCCTTATAGACTGGTCAACTGAATGAAACTAGCCTCTAACCTATGGGTGGCCGGAGTCGAACAAAGCAAGGTAGAGACAAGAGAGTCAGGAATCAAAGAGAAGTTTAATTTCAAAGTGAGGGAAGTGGCTTGCAAGCAAGGCCACATGGGCCAGAGTGAGCTGAAGCCCTGACAATGAGGGGACACAGCAACAGTGTGACAAGTTTGATTCATATCAGGGCTTCACGACTAGAAACAATTCTGGGATTTTGTTATGGCTGAGATCATCCAGAGGGTGAGTGCAAAGGATTGTTGTTATGACAAGCTCAGGTCATAGCTTGCTTGCTGAGCCTTAGCTCTGGGAAACAGGGTGTCTAATATCTGACAGATTCTATGTGCCAAATTCAATGCTTCCTTAAAGGAAACATCTGACAATAACTGCTGTCTAAGCCTGTGTCCTCATCTGTAAAATTAAAGGGTGGAACTAGATAACCCCAAAGATTTCTTCCAGCTCTGAATCTATACTCCAGTGCTCAACTTAATTCTGACCTCCAACATGTCACTTTACCTGGACAGTCTTTCCCATACTTTTCTCTCTCCTGCCTTGTTTGCCATAGTTAATTTACTGCCTGACTGCCTGTACCACAAATTTTGTTACTTGCTACACACCACAATGTCCACTTTGAAAAGAAATATACACACACACACACACACGTATATATACACACACAGAAACATACACAGAAAATACAATACAAATGACCATGTACAAGACAGACTGTGGGGAAGGGGGCTATTTGTTTTGTGTGTGTGTGTGTGTGTGTGTGTGTGTGTGGAAAGAGACAGAGGGGGAGGGCGGGAAAGAGGGAGAGGGAGAGGGAGGGGGAGAGAGAGAGAGAGAGAGAGAGAGAGAGAGAGAGAGGGAGAATATCATTCTTTTGCCCTTCCCTCTCATTATTTCTAGTCTCAGTTATTCTTCTAGGGCTGGGACCACGGTTACATCATTTTCGTGCTCTATGCCATGCCTGGTAAAGCCTGAGCTCCGCCTCACCTCTGGAAAAACCTGGCAAGTAGCTCCCTGTTCTTAGCCACTCCAGCTTTGCGCCCACAGTGCGGGAAGTTGAAATAAATGCAATCAAACTTCCAGCCATCCGCTGCAAAGGCATCTGCCAGCTGGGTGCAGTCCACACCGAATCGCACCTCAGCACCTGGGGGAGAAGGAGTTGTGTAGAGAGTGTGAAAAGCAAGGAGCACGGGTCACCCCCAGTTCAGTACAGGGTCGAGAGCTATTCCTCCAGCTTCCAACAAACGATTCAATTCAACTCAACAAATATTTATTAAGCACCTACTATGTGCCAGACTCTGTGCTAAGCCCTGGAGATACAAAAAGAGGCAAAACACAGTCCCTACCCACAAGGAGCATACAATCTATTGGGAGATACAACAAATAAATATATACAAAAGCAAGCCACATACATGATAAATAGGAAATGATTAAAAAAGGGAAACCACTGGTACTTAGAGGGATTAGGGAATGTTTCCTGTAGAAAGGAGATTTTAATTGGGACTTAAAGCCTGGGAGGTCAGCAGAAAAGAGAGAGCTCTCGAGGAACAAGGAACAACCAGAGAGGTCACGCCTCAATTCCAAGTAAGCGGAATAAAAAACAAAACCGAGCTCCCAGCCCAGGTTAGGATGCAGAGCGGAAAGAAAAGAGTCACATGGCAGTAGGGGCGGGGCTTCGGGGAGGAGTGGGACCTCGCTAATTGATGCGGGGCGGGGCTTAGACGAGGGGCGGGGCCTCGCTACCTTGCTCGCGAAGGCGTCGTAGGTTTTCCTGGAACACCAGGTCCCCAGCCAGGGCCGTGGCTTCCTGGGGACAGGTGGCGATGAGACTAGTGCCGGGCCCTTGGACCTCGCTCAAGGCGGCGGCGAAGGAGAAATTCCCCTCCCCAACCAGTAGGAGGCGGCGAGCGACCATGTTCCCTCGGTTCGCTGCCACTCAGCCAGCCCGACCAGCGCACGTCATCTATCACTTCCCCTTCCTGCCGCTGGGCCTCTCTTCCCCGGTCGCCGAATGATGACGCGCCACAGCGCCAGGTTGCCTTGGCAACCAGTTGTTGGTCCTCCGAACAGGTGGTGATGACCGTGACTGTAAATATGAGGAACTTTCCCCAGAAGGTAAAAGGTCTCCGTCCCCCAGCACTAAGCCAGCGCAAGCTGATTCGTCAGCACCTCTGTGACGTCACAAACAATCGCCAGAACTGGAGCCTGGCTGGGGACGGCTCCTAGGCGAGCATGTCTGTCACCCATCTTCCTACCCATACCCTGGGACGCATCTTAGATTTACGTTTGGAAAAGACCCCTCATTCTAGAAACCCCGAGAAGCCGAGTGACTTGCGAGGGTCACGCAAGGAGTCAGTGGGAGAGCTATGGAGTCTAACCCAGGTCCTGAGTTCCAGATCCAGAGCCCTTTCCGCTATGGACCACGAATGGCCTGGGCCTTTCCCAGGAATTTAGTCCTAGTTCTGCTACTTGCCACTTACTGGGTGAACCTTAGAATCTGGGCCTCTGTAACATATGGGGGTTGGAATCCAATCCAGCCGTTAGTTCTTTCTCTCTATTGAAATTACACGGTCTGACCTCGTAAATCCTAGTATTTGCTTCTTTGTGTACCAGTTTTCCTCCATACGATGTAAGCTCCTTGAGGGCAGGGACTTTTTTTGGGAGGGCGTGAGGCAGTTGGGGTTAAGTGACTTGCCCAGAGTCACACAGCTAGTGAGTGTCATGTGTCTTAGGTTGGATTTGCACTCTGGTCCTTCTGATTCTGGGGCTGGTGCTCTAACCACTGCACCACTTAGCTTCCCTTAGGGACTTTTTGTTTTTTGCCTTTGTAACTTCAGCTCTTTGGGACAGTACTTTTTAGACATGTAGTAGGCACATAATAAACGTTTGTCCAATTGAATGGGATTAGATGACCCTACTGCCCTAAATTGTTTGGTCCTCTGGTGTACCGGGGAAGGAGCTACTGTTCCAGTCACTATTCTACCACCACAAAACTAAAAGGATAAAAGGTTAGTTATGGTTTGAGGTCCAGGTCCTCTGAACTTTGGATCACTGCTCACTTCAGTTATCCTGCTGCCTGGTGATGTCAGCACAGCACACTTCACAAAAAGGGGCCAATGACCTGCTTGTTTGGTCTCACTACTCAATGTATCCTCAGTTCTGTCAACTCTGCCCTTAGGCATTGGTATTGGCAGTGGCTTCTTCATCATGGCCACAGAGATTCCATCAGGACAAATAGGGTGAAGATCCTTATTTCTGTTGGATTGAAATTCCAAAATCTAGGTTTGGTGACCTGTCAACCCCCAGGGAACATGGAAAAGAGAAGTCAAGGCTTCCCTTGGCCTTCTGAAAAAGTTTCAAGGGAGCCATTTCAATACAGATCAACTATCTCTAGCTCAGATCAGGTATTTTCTTGTTTCTTCTGAACCTGGGGTCTGAACTGGGGATGATCAGACTTAGGGAGAACATGACAGCTGTCATCAAGTGTTGACAGGGTTATCATACGAAAGAGGAAATATATTTGTTCTCTTTGGCTTGGTGTTAGGAGGGAGGAGAAGAACTAGGAACAATGAGTAGAGGTTGCAAAGATGTAAATGTAGGCTTGATGTAATAAAAATTTTCTGTTAGAGTTATCCAAAAGTGGAATGGGCTGATTCATGAGGTAATGGGTTCCCTTCCTTTGAGAGCTTTAAGCAATGACTGGATAACCACTGGTCAGTCTGTTGTGGAAGGGGTTCTTTCAGGTACAGTTTGGACTAAATGACCTCTGAAGTCCCTTCTAACTCTGAAATTCTAAGATTCTGTTTTTCATTTCACATAAAGTAAAATGCACTATAAACTAAGCTCCCTTGTTCCTTATATTCCTAAATTCTAAGCTAGCTGCATCAGTTAACTGATACTCTATATTGAATTTCTGGGCACCTAAGATTTCCTAGAACTGACTGACATCTCCTTCTGATTGACATCTCAGCTGATTGACATCTTCTTGCTGGGTGTGAGGGCAGGTAGAGAAGTAGCTACTAGTATATGATAGGTCAGGAGTAAAAATGCAACTGCCTAATGAACTACAGCAAACTTTGGCAGAAGCCTGGACCTTGGTTGGACTTAATATCTTTTCAGGAAATATGTTGTATCTCAGTGTTGGAACAGAGAGTGAAAAGAAATGGAATTCTATTATGTGGTTTGTGCAATGGTTTCCTTTTCCTGCCCTTCCCCAGAAATTATCCTTTTCCTGCTTTCTCACAAATCCACAATATGGCTGCCTAATGCACTCAGATGGCCATGGTGAAGTGTGGACAGACTGGAATGATATGTCCAAGTTTTTCCAGTATGGATGGAGATGTACGACCAATGAAAATTCTTACTCCAATCGTACCTTAATGGGCAACTGGAACCAGGAGAGGTATGACCTTCAGAAGATTGTACAACCACAACCTCTGCCTTCCCAGGTAATCCTCCTTCCTTTGCTTCCTTTGGCCTCTCCTATTAGCAGAGAAGAATGTGTGGTGGTCTTAGGAGGAAGAATATACAACCCTAGCACTCCCCAATTCAATTGGACATTACCTTTCCTTTTGATAAATGACTCAGAAGATACCATGCAATTCCTCATCAAGCTGGATAAGACTTTGATCCTGTCTACTAATTCTGTATCAGGACTGTTCACTCATTCCTGGAACACCAGTGTCTCCTAGATGAAGAAAAATTCCCCCATAACCATACTGAATACATAGACTTGAACTTCCCTCATGGGAAGCTTTGCTGTGAAGTCTCCAGTCCACATAAGCCAAGGCAAGCTCTGTTACTACTAATGCTATGGAGACTTCTATTCTTTGAAACTTGGCTGCATAATTTTTACTGCAATCCCTCTTGTTTTCCTTTCTAGTTTGGTCACTATTTTGAAACAACCTATGCTGCCAGCTACAAAAAGAAGCTACCTCCACCCCGAAGTAGGTGCTTTAAGGTGGAGAACAGGGTCGGGATGGGGTAGTAATCATTGTTCTTAGCTATTAAAATTAAGCCTACTTCAAATGAGTGCTTAAGGATGTTTTCCCTCCAAAATCCACTATTTCTATAGCTCCCCAGGATTCTTCCAGCCTATAATATAGCTTTTTACCCATGGAGTTACTGTGGGAAACCTATCCTATCCCTGGAGGTTGTTCCTTTTTATTGAAATAACCAGTTTCCCATTTTCCCCAGTGTGAACAGACCTAATTGCAGTATAGTAAGGTGGAAAATGTGCTAGTGTTGGGAGAGATCTGAGTTTGAATCCCAATTTTGACAGTGTGACCATGGGGCAAATAACTTTCCCTTCTCTGAGTTTGAATGTTTTCATCTATAAAATGGGGATAATAGAGTCTGGTTTTACCTAGCTCACAGTTATTGAGAGGATCAAGAAAAATAATATATATAAAACATTTAATCATTATGTAAATATCAGCTAGTATTATTATTAGGACAGTCCCTGTTAAGTAATGTCAATTTTCCATTTCCTACCTTTCCTTGCAGGGTTTAAACAAGAGCTTCACTGTTTCCCTAGACATCAAGCTGAGCTGATTCCTCCTCCGTACAAACCTAGTACCACAGGAAAGACAGATTACATGGTGAATTATTCAGCATCTCAAACCAAGGAAGGCCCTGGATGTGTATGGGATCCTAAAGATGGTCAATCCTAAGGCTCAGGCACTAGGGAAACAAGACAAGCTCCTTTTTTCTAGAGTAAAATATAACTGGGAATAGTTCTCTATTCAACACAGCTAAGAATTTTGCTTTCTGTAAACATAGTAACTCTTCTCTGAATAAAAAATAAAGTCCCTAGGAATTGGAAGCTAATTTCTGCTGGGGTTCTCTTTCTTTCTTAACCTAAGAAGACACTGTCACCTTTCAGTTATTGAAATGTAGGTGCAATACTAGTTGTTTGTCATTTATTTCAAAGAAGACCAATGACATCAGGGGTGATGTCTTGACTCACACGTGGATTGGATTTAAGTGAGGCAGATTTGTACAAAGGCATCAGCCTCACTCTCTCTTCCAGAGTCATCAAAGTCCAGTGGCAAGACAAAAGTTAGGATGACTGGTGATGGTCCAAAATGCAGTGGATGACCTTAGAGTTCTGACCAAGCTCTGAGCTCTCCATAGCTCCTGCTTCAGCCACCTTCATGGCTGTTGGAACTCATCTGCCCATTCCGCCGGGGGAAATCTTCACATGCTTGGGGTAGATATCCCCCTAACTCACCACCAGGTTTGAGGCCTGTCAGTACCCTCAACCTGGTATAGCCTGTCTGCCAAGATGGTTTTACTGGGGTGTGGCTGCTGAGCATGATGGAGCCACAGGTGAGAGTTGGGTGAGAGGTGGACGCCAAAGGTGGATAAGCAGTCCTGAAAAGGTCTTGGCAAGCCCTCACACCAGAGGTGCTAGTCCTCCCTGCACACCCTATATACCCTAGTACCAGTATAGAAGTGTGGTAAGGAAGATGGCAGAGGGAAAGCAGTGACTGTCTTTAGCTCTCTCCCAAAGCCCTCCAAATACCTAAAAAAATGGCTCTAAACAAATTCTAAAGCAGCAGAACCCACAAAAAGACAGAGTGAAACAAATTTTCAGCCAAAGGCAGTCTGGATGGTTGATCAGAAACGTATATCATGCCGGGCTGGGAGAGGAGCGCAGTGTGGCATGGGCACGCAGGCCGCAGCGACCCTGGAGCAGGCCTCAGAGAACTGAATTGCGCGCAGCTGTGGCGGTTTCCAGACTTCTCAACCCAGGAAACGCCAACGGCAACATGGAAGGTCAGTGGGAAAAGTCTGTGACTGCGGTGAGAGAGGAGCTAGGTCTCAGCTGCAAGTCTCGAGCGCAACCTGGGGCAGCGACTGTTTCCTGAGCTTCCGGCCCATAGACTGAGGGGGAATCGAGTGGCTGATAAGAGGGGGATTACAAGGATCTCTTTGCCAGTGCTAAGGCAGGAATCTCTTGCTTTACCAGTGCTTGGATCTGGGTCACAGTTCTGAGGGGTGGTCCTGGGGCGAGGAGGAGTGCTGGAGTGGTGGAGCTTGTTGTGGCAGTGGAGAGGAAACACCTCGCCCCTTATCATAGCACCTTGGAAGAACTGACAATTTACAGGTCCCTAGTAGTCCCTCTGAAAACAGCTGTACAAACCCCCGAAGCTTGGGACAATGCACTCTTCACATTGGAAGCAGACTTTTACCTTAACAAAGAGTTTAAAACTCAAGTAATTGGCCGGGATCATGAGTAAGCAGCGCAAAAAGAGTCAGACAGACTATATTATCTTACTTTGGTGACAAAGAAGATCAAAACATACAACCAGAAGAAGACAATGAAGCCAAAGCTCCTACATCCAAAGCCTCCAAGAAAAATATGAATCAGTCCCAGGCCTTGGAAGAGCTCAAGAGGGATTTTGAGAAGCAAATAAGAGAAGTAGAGGAAAAACTGAGAGTGATGCAAGAAAATCATGAAAAACAAGTCAACAGCTTGCTAAAGGAGACCCCAAAAAAATACTGAAGAAAATAATACCTTAAAAAATACCCTAACCCAAATGGCAAAAGAGGTCCAAAAAGCCAATGAGGGGAAGAATGCCCTAAAAAGCAGAATTGGCCAAATGGAAAAGGAAGTCCAAAAGATTACTGAAGAAAATAACTTCCTTAAAAATTAGAATAGAGCAATTGGAAACTAGTGACTTTATGAGAAATCAAGACTGTAAAACAAATTCAAAAGAATGAAAAATTAGAAAACAATGTGAGATATCTCATTGGAAAAACAACTGACCTGGAAAATAGATCCAGGAGAGAGAATTTAAAAATTATTGGACTATCTGAAAGCCATGATCACAAAAAAGAGCCTAGACATCATCTTTCAAGAAATGATCAAGGAAAACTGCTCTGATATTTTAGAAGCAGAGGGCAAAATAGAAATTGAAAGAATCCACCAATCTGCTCCTGAAAGAGACCCCCAAAGGAAAACACCTAGGAATATTGTAGCCAAATTTCAGAGTTCCCAGGTCAAGGAGAAAATATTACAAGCAGCCAGAAAGAAACAATTCAAGTACTGTAGAAACACAATCAGGATAACACAAGATTTAGCTGCTTCTACATTAAGGGACTGCAGGGCATGGAATATAATATTCCAGAGGGCAAAGGAGATAGGATTACAACCAAGAATCACCTACCCAGCAAAACTGAGTATAATCCTGCAGGGGAAAAAATGGTCATTCAGTGAAATAGAGGACTTTCAAGCATTCTTGATGAAAAGATCAGAGTTGAATAGAAAATTTGATTTTCATATACAAGATTCGAGTGGAACATGAAGAGGTAAACAGGAAAGAGAAAATCATAAGAGACTTATTAAGGTTGAACTGTTTACATTCCTGCCTTTTGTTAACACTCCTCCATTTGTAGCTCATGAGACCTTTGTCAGTATTAGGGTAGTTGGAGGAGAAAAAATTATATGTACATATATATAGATATAGATAGATAGAGGGTACAGGGTGAGTTGAAAATGAAGGGGTTATATCTGGAGAATAAAATTAAGGGGTGAGAGAGGAATATACTAGGAGAAGGAGAAAGGGAGAGGTAGAATGGGGTAAATTATCCTACAAAAAAAAAAAACAAAAGAAAAGGCTCTTACAGTGGAGGGGAAAAGGGGGAAGGTGAGAGGGAATGAGTGAATCTTACTCTCATAGGATTTGACTTAAGGAGGGAATAACATACACACTCAATTGGGTATGGAAATCTGTCTTACCCTACAGGAAAATGGGGGGGAAGGGGACAAGAGAGTAGGGGAATGATAGAGAGGAGAGCAGATTGGGAAAGGGAGTAATCAGAAGCAAATACTTCTGAGGAGGGACAGGGTCAAAAGAAAGAATAGAATAAATGGGTGGGTGGGATAGGATTAAGGGAAATAGAGTTAGTTTTTCACAGCATGTCTACTATGGAAGTGTTTTGCATAACTGCACATATATAACCTATGTTTAGTTGCTTGCCTTATCGATGAGGGTGGGTGGGGAGGGAGGAAGGGAGAATATTTGGAACCCAAAGTTTTAAAAAGGAACAAGAATCTAGAATCTAGAGCAACAAGTGTCCAATTCAAGTGCAAATGAATCTGTATGGGCTGCATATTGACTTAGAATACCACAAATTAACATTAAAATAATAAATAAATAAATAAAATATATTTTCATTGCAAAAAAAAATAAAATAAAAAAATATAAAAATAGAAGTGTGGTAAGAAGATAAACTCTGTGGCTTCAGAAGAATATCATTGTTCCCTAATACAGGATGACTACATCTCACCTCTCTTTGTAAATAATAAATTCCCAGATTATTTAGACTCCAATAATCTTTTGCAATACATTTTCTTTAAGGAGTAAAATAAAAGACTTATGATGTCTGATATCACCTCCCTGAGTATCCCCTACACAGCACCAGGACATGGATGAAGTAATTGGGATTAAGGGATGCTGGTGATCCGCTTCAGAACAAGATATTCTCCCCTAGTGCTTGTTATCAGCAGGACTTTTTTGCAGCAGAATAAGTAACAAACATTCTATTTTAGTCACCATCTCTTTGCTTCTTTTTTTGAGCTTTGTCTCTTGTACAAACTACTATTTCTTCTCATTGACATTTTTTTTTCTCCTCAGGGCTCTGAGCCTTGGGACTAGACCTTCCCTTGCAATATAAACTAGTGATTTGGAGACAGAGAAGCGTTGTATTTCTCCAATGTTTTCAAGTGCAGAAAATGGAATAAAGAAAAGCTATAAGCTTATTATGCATGTAAGTTTTGAAGATTGGAGCCAGTGATGGAGTAAAGATGCCATTTGAATTACTTTCTTCTGTTTCCAAATAACAAATACACAGTGCAGAAAACTATGGGGAACACATTCTGAAAGATCATTTTCTTTGATGCAAATGGAAGGTATGACTTCACCCCATATCACACCCCTTCTGGAAGCCTCTCCCTCCACCCAAAGACTTAAAATCAGGGAGAGAGTAAAGAGTGTTTTATGTGCAAATCTGATGAAATGAGAGAACTGTCTGTGTGTGTCTATATTCTTATCTTACTGGTAATTCCACAAATGCCTTCCCTTATTGGCTAATAGAACAATTTTCCTAATCTGGTCAGAACTTTAATCTTTTTATTCAAAGGCTACTGCAAAATACCCAAAACAAAAGTTATACAGGATGAGAATTAAAATGTAAGTATGAAAATGTCTAATAACCATCCTTTGACTTTGCTGTCCAAAACACTCCTCCCTGGCCACCATTCCCCTAAACATGTTAATCTTTCCCTTTTAGAATGTTAGCTCCTTGAGGGGCAGAGATCTTCTAGACTTCTTGTATTTGTATTCCCAGCACTTAAAACAGTGCTTGGCCCATAGAGTAAATGCTTAATAAATGCTCTTTCAAACCTGGAAACGCATACACAAACTGATGAAAAATGAAGTGAACAGAACCAGGAGAACATTGTATATAGTAACAGCAGTATTGTATAAAGATTCAACTGTGAATGATTTAGCTCTTCTCAGCAATACAATGATCCAGGACAATTCCAAAGGACTCATGATGAAAAATGCTGTCCACATCCATAGATTCTGAATGCAGATGGAAGCATACTATTTTTTACTTTTTAAATTTTTTTCCACGTTTTTTTTCTCTTGGGGTCTATGTCATCTTTCACAACATGACTAATATGGAAATTTGTTTTGCATGATTTCACAAGTATAACCTATGTCAAATTGCTTACAATGTCAGGGAGGGGGAAGGTGAGAGAAGGAAGGAGGGAGAAAATTTTGAACTCAAAAATTTTTTTAAATTAATATTAAAAATCATCTTTACCTATAATCAGGAAAAATATATTTAAAATTTTA